CCAGTTCTCTATCGAGTTTCGACCCATGAACACACAATAGGGAACTGGGATTTTATGATGAAACAAATGTAGCATAAACAATTATCTAATCTCTTTCAGAAGACAGAAGAGTTCACATGAAGAATAAAACGTACCTCATTCAACTTCATATAACCAAGTGGTAGGTTCCCAACCGAGTTCACTGGGCCTGGCAAACCCAAGAGCGTTGACTACAGATAGTAACAGAGTAACCGACGAACTCAAAAAATAGATTCACGTATAATTTCTTTGACTGCAAAGATAAAAATGAGGGCAAAGTCCAACCATAAGTGGTGCTATGTCAGCTTGATTGACGTCTACTCTCTCAACACGGTTAAGGCCCCAATCATAAGGTGTGGGCATATCATGTGCATGCTTGTCAACAAATGTAGTAACAGAATCAGAGTGACTGCTTCCAGATGCTGGTTTGGGATATTTAATCCCAGCTCCCCAAGCAACTAATGGAGTATCAGTGTTTGTAGGATGCCCATCTCCATGACTTCCTATGAGTAAAATCAGGTTTATATAGCATCATTACCACCATTACGCCCTAAATGATAATTAACGAGAACTTTAACACAAAAGGAATGACGCAGGCAAAAGCAAACCTTTGTCGCTCATCCCATGATCAGCGGTGAAGATATACGAAGTGCGATTGTCTCTGTAGTAATCCTCCAAGAGATGGTAGACCCTTTCAGCTATCTTATCAACAACTTTGACATTGTTGAGATAGATCGATGAATAAGGCCGATGTGCATGACCGTTGGAATCGCAACCAAGAAGGTGCAGAAACACAACAAGTTTGTCCTGATGGAGCAGCTCTTTCAACTTTGGATCTTCATGAGACCTATTGAGAAGGCTCTCAAATTGATCGAACGACCACTCATCCAAAAAGGAAGCATCTACACCAAAACCGAACATCTCAGTTCATTCTAGTGATAAACAAATTGACTAGATAGTGTGCTGCTGCGTATCACAAACAACAAGCAAATTGACTAGATAGTCAACTTTATTTCCAAATACCGATACATATAAGGCTTCACTCTCAAACGACAAAACGAACCTGTTGCAAAGTCTTCATACTCGTGAGGATAAGAATTCCAGGTGCTGTGAGGTAAGGCACTGCAGAAGATAGGAATAATATCCGGACTCCCATAAGCAAATGTATGCCTGCTCCGGTTAAAAACAGAATCAAATTCAACAGGATTAGCTTTCCATCCTGCAAACACACAGTATCATTTCTTCAACCATTCACTATCTACTCTACAGAGATCAAAGCAACCAAATACTAGATAAGTAGTAACTACAAGCATAAATACAGACTGAAGAAGAAGAGGAGAACCTTTTGTGACAGCACTAGGATCTTCATAGAATCCAGCAATAATAGCAACATGTCCAGGTCTAGATTCTGTGGGAGGTCGAGCATGAGACACACCCCAACGCCCTTGATTCTTTATTACATTCCTCAAGAACGGTGCTCTGTAATTCCCGTCAACGTCCGGCTCAAAGAACTTGTCAGCTCGTAAACCATCCGCTTAAAAAACACATTTCAGTGTCAAAACCAATTAGGCAAAACAAAAACAAAAAGCAGATTCAGTAATGAAGAATACGAACAGATGAGAAGAACAAGTCGCTTCGCCGGTGGCTCAGAGAATCTCGGAGGCACTGGATCCATCCCGTGGACTATCGGCGTTTTGAAGTAAATGTCGAAGATACTTAGCATGTAAACGGCGTGAAGAGCTACGCCTAGAACCACGAGCCATGTTTCTCGCCTCTTTAGCCATCTTCTTCTGCTCGCGACGACGACGCTTGTTGCTCGATTCTGATCAGAACCTCCCAAGATCCCGTCGCTCCTCATAGATCTTCACAGACAGAGTTTTTTCTCCTGAATTTTCTTAAATCTCGATCCTTTTCAATTTTTCAGTGTTTGTTCGTTAGAAGCTGTAGCTAAAAGCCCAAGAAGGCCCAATCTACTAATGATTAGGAATTTGAGATTTTATTAACAGTAAAAGAGAAAGAATAATCCAATGAGTTCCATTGATCTCAATTTTATTACAACAACATAGATATGAATGCAGAGAGGAATTACAAAAAGTAGAGAATAAATATAGCAACAATAATATGAGATGAGTCTCTGAAATCCAGAAACACCACACAAGAGAGAAAGAAAAATGACTTGGACTTTCTCACCACCATTTTTTTTTTTCACTTTTGATACAAAATCTCAGTTCTTGACTGTGGTCACATTTTTCAGAAGCATTTCCACAACATCTTTGGAAATCCTCGAAGCTTCGTTCTTCAACTGTTCGATTTTGGCATCAGTCTCCTGCTCCAGCCTCTTCACATTCGCACCAGAATCTCCACTGGTCTGTTTTCACAATATATGGTTATATTAGCAAAAAGACACTACTTTTTGTAGATTGTCTGAGAATAATTTCTATATCTTTTTTAAGATTTTTTTTTACCTCCTCAAGTTTCCTCTGGAAGTCTTGCTCTGTTTTAGCTTTGTATTCGGCAATCTCTTTCTCAGCCTCTTCCTTGGCTTGCTTCAGTCTTGCCATTTTTGCTGCAACCAAGAAACAAGTCATAAATCAATTTCAAACATATAATCAAACCCCAATTTTAAAGAATGGAAAAACTTGTACTTACCGCTTCTTGCAGCATTGACAATGTGTTGAGCTTCTTGTTCAGCAGCAAGTAACTGTTGGATCCCACCTTGACCTCTGCCGGATTCCATCCTTTATCCCACAAAATCTGTTAAATAAAAGGTCAACTAGTTAAGTTTGTGGATAAGAAAACCCAAACAGCACAAATTTGAATTGCCAAAAAGCCAAATCATTTTTTACACAAACTACTAGATGATTACAAACAACAAAACTTTGCAGAAACCAAGCATGATCTTAACTGATCACTAATTGGGGGCGATTATATCGATTACTACAATTCCTAAATACTACTAACTATAAGACAGTCCATTTCGATAGTTTCTGTTAAATTTGAGATCACAACAAGTTCGGAGAAACATATATTAATTCAAAGCAGATCCGTTAAATCTAGCAATCCATAACTCAGAATCAAAACAAACAAAATAGATCTCAGCGACCAAAAGAGTAATGAGGATCGAAGATCACGGAGTCAATATAATCGATGTAATAATTCAGCCATCTTTAACAAAAATCCAACCTCTTAACACATCATCATACCAACAATCCTAAAACGTTAAATCCCCTGCAGATTTGCCCTACTCTTCTTGGAATTTCCGGAAGTAGGAAAACTACGCCGATACATTTTGACTTCCGATTGAAATCCGATCTAATAGAAGAGAAGAAGAAGACAGAGACATACCTTGTTCCAAGGAC